GGGCTGCACTGGAGGAAGACTAGGGAGGGGGAGGGAAGAAAGAGAGGAAAGGGAGAAGGAATGGGTTTGTTTCTTCCTGCTACCCCCTCCTCCACACACACACACACGGACTCTGGAGAGGGTTTAATTTCATTAACTCCACGAGCGCTCGGCCTCGGCTGCTCCCTTTCCTCCCGAGAAGCTCCAGGCCTGAAACTGGGGGAGGTGAGAGGCAGTGGCCCAGGGCACTCTGCTCTGTCCCGGGGCAGTGGGAATGCAGAAGGGAGAGGGGGCACACCGCCAGTCTGCCCACAGCTGTGTAGGGACTGTGTGGGCCTGCCGTTTGTCATTGTCTTTGTGTGTTTGCATTCTTGTCTTTGACTTTGTGTGTCATTTTCAGTGTGTGTTTGTTCTGTATGTGTATTTATACTTGTGTGCGCATGTGCCAGTTGTCTTTATCTACATGTGTGCAACCTTGTGTGTGTATCTGTCAGTGTCTGTGCATGTGTTGGTGTTTTTGCGTGTTTGTGTGGCTGTGTGAACATGCTTGTGTGTATTGATCTGTATCAGTGTATCTGTATCAGTGTTGGCGTGTGTCTTTGTGTATTGGTCTGTGTCTCTGTGTGTGTCTTTTTGTGTATCATTGTATCTGTGAGTGTGTCTGTGTGTCAGTCTCTGTGTGTGTCCGTGTGTCTCAGTGTGTCTCTTTGCGTCAGTGTGTGTTTCTGTGTGTGTCAGTTTGTTTCAGTGTGTCTCTGTGTGTGTCACTGTGCCTGTATGTCTCTGTGTGTGTCTGCCAGCTGTGTCTCATTGTGTCTCTGTGTGTCACTGCATTTCTGTGTGTATGAGATGTGTGTGCCAGTGTGTGTCTGTGTGTGTGTATCAGCTGTGTGTGAGCCTCAGGGGGTCGGGATGGAGCTGCCGGCGGGGGGGATGGTGGTGCTGAAGGCCGGCAGTGGAGCACAGAGGGAAGGAAGTCCTGGTCAATGACAGCCATTTCCTCAGTGTAAACACACAGCCAGCAGCCACCCCTCCCCCAGGCACGCCCACCCTCCTCCCTGCTCACTCCTGGCCCCCACAGGCTCCACGTGTGCCATTGTCACCTCCCCTTCCCAGGACCCCAGCCCCCCGAGCAAAGGGCAGGCAGCGGTGGAATACTGAAGCCTTGTTTAACATGAGCAAAGAGCACTGCTCACACTGGAGCTCCGGTATTAGTGCTGTTTAACATGAGCAAAGAGCACTGCTCACACTGGAGCTCCGGTATTAGTGCTGTTTAACATGAGCAAAGAGCACTGCTCACACTGGAGCTCCGGTATTAGTGCTGTTTAACATGAGCAAAGAGCACTGCTCACACTGGAGCTCCAGTATTAGTGCTGTTTAACATGAGTATTAGTATTAGTGTTTAGTGTTTAGTGTTTAGCTCTAATTAGTGTATTAGAGCTCCAGTATTAGTACTGTTTAACATGAGCAAAAAGCACTGCTCACACTGCAGCTCCAGTATTAGTGCTGTTTAACATGAGCAAAGAGCACTGTTTTAACATGAGCAAAGAGCACTGCTCATATTCTTTCTGGCGTCTGTCCCATCAGTAGCTGCTGCAGCAAAAACGCTTTTGCGTTTAACGCCATGTTGAAGAGGATAGACAGGACCATGAGTATCCACACACTGTGGCATATTCTTATTCTTATGATTTTTGGGTTGGGACACTAGCCTATTGCAGGGCACATAGACACACACTCATACTAGGGCCAATTATCCCAGAAGTCAGATGTCCCGCCAGCATGTCTTTGGACTGTGTGAGGACACCGGAGCACCTGGAGGAAACTTGTGTAAACACAGGGAGAACATGCAAACTCCACACAGATATTGCACCCTGCTCTGATGATTCGATTTTCGCCTTAGAATCAGATGAGCAGTTCATGAAACATAATGCTTGGACTATCCAGTCGGGTAGTCTCCTGCTCTCTGAAACAAACCCTGTATCTGTAGTTCCCTTGTAAGAGTGCAGCCTAGGCGCTGGTGATGTTTTTCTGTGAAACCCTGTGATCAGGGTTTGCTTATCAGCCCCAGTCTTCACTCACTGAAGACCAGTTGGGCCAGTTTGTGGTCTACATGTGGGCTTCCCCTTTGCAGATGACATGTGTGCCATTCCGAAGCGCAGCGATCGCCTCTCGCAGACCGGTCCATTCATGTAGAAAAGAGAGGGGGGGGGGGGTTGAAATTTGTTCCCATGAGTTACTGAGCTGCCATGGTAGTTGAAGGTAAACAGATCTAAGTGTTTAAATATATTCTTAGGGAGAATTCTCTGTGTATTCTGTGGTTTCGAGTGTGTAAGATGGTGTGAGGAGTGTTAAATCCTAAATTAGGTAACCCCCCCTAACAGAAAGTGGAGTAATCTGGCTTTCTTGGAAAGGGAGTCAGATTCCTAGCAGGTCCTGAGCATTTAAGCTGAGCCTCTGATATTATTGTGTGGCCTGTTTGCCTATTTGCTTATCAGATGCAGTCTTTTGGATGTGGGCCTGCAGTCTGCTATGAACTTTCCCATAGGCCTGTCAAGCCTGGTTTGAGCCAGGAGCTGATGTGTAAAAAGAGCCCTCAGATACAGATATACTGTACAGCCAATGGCGGCTCTGCCCCTTGGGAGCTGGGGCTCAGTGAGGGAGTGAGGCGGGCGAGATTTCGGCGATGTCCTGTAACTCGATGTCGATAGTCCCTTTGCCGTGTTCATGGCTGGGGGCTGGGGGGAGGGGGGTTTGTCTGACAGCCCCTGCGGTGTGCCCTCTTCCCAGGCTGCGTGCTCACTCGAGAGCCCGGGCTGCGGTGGGCTGCCGCAGGGGCTCCCGGCTCAGGGTGTGGCGGGCAGCGCTGTTATTCCGGCGGGCGGAGGTCTCCGTCTTGTGCGCGGTGCTCTCCGTGTCCCCTGCCTTTGGCTCCCTTCCTCCAGACAGAGAATCCAGAGGAGCAGCTTGATTGGCTTGGAGGTTTTGGGAGCGATTGTGCGGATCATCCCTCCGATGGGAGTTGGGATTAAACCCAAGCCGCTCAGCAGACACTCCTCGGCCTGAGAACATTAGCAGCTTGGCAGGGGCTAATGGCTCTGCTAATGACTGTGGCTGTATTTAAGATCCTTTTCTCAACTTGTTTTTGGTTTTATTGGAAAACCTGCCCAGTTTGCACTCTCCAGTTGTCGTTAAGACTGTGGCTGCTGTGACCACTCCCGCCCTGCAGGGGGAGCTTGAGAAGGGGACGGCACGCTTCGCTGACATGCCCACCCACCAGGGACACTCGTCTCTATTCCTGTACAGTCTGTCCCCCCTCCCGCTCCCCCTTCACCCCCCTGGAGCGGCAGCGTCTCTCTCCTCCCCTGAGCTGCTGGGTGTCTCCCAGGTGGAGCTGCTGTTTCAGCACCCTGAGCCTGTACGTCCTGTACCCAGAACCTGTACCGCTTCTGTGTTCGTCAGCAATCAGACTCGCATTGTTGTCTCTCTACTCCATCTCACATGGGAACGCTGTGCCAATTGCCAGGGCTGGAAAAGTTACTTTGGAAAAGTTACCCATTGCAATTCTGATTTACTTGTGTAAGGGATTACTTTTTAAATGAATACAACTGGGGGAAATTGCTTTTAAGGGCAGCACATCCAGGTTTTCCTGCTTCTTCCCACAGTCCAAAG